CCGCGGCTATAGACTCCGATCGTAATGTGGGCTGGGACGACTTAACATGCACTGTCCGGATGCTTCGTAGCGGCAGACTACTGATGGGTCTGATGGCTGCTACCATAAGATTTGTCCTATGGATTATGCATGCTGATCACCCGCAGTAAAAACTGACGTTTCAAAAAACCCACGTTTGAGGAGCATTCCATGGACAAGCTGGTACTGGCAGATCAGTGAAGCCCCAAGTTGTTCAGGTCACAAGGCTAGAAAACCCAGATAACACCTCCCCACAACGGTATTAGTGCTCAGGTCGAACCTTCCTGGTATCTACGGGCTACACACTGTTTCGAAAGGTCTCCCCCAGAGAAGAGTCCGGTACATAGACTAAAAAGGAATGACAGTTCATTCTAGGTCATTGGTCGGACGGTTCGCAATCTAGCTGCCTCCAAAGCATTCACATAACCAAGAACAGCTTCTCATTGCTTGATAATATTTCCGAGACTTCTACAGAACAAAGCAGACTGTCACCCTATTAGAAGATAGAAACTGCTGAGCGTTCGGTTTTCAAAACGGAGAACCGGTGCTATTTCTCAAGCCTGTGTTTAAAAACCATCCGATTTTTAATCATTTACGGGTAAAAGGCCGCAAGAAGAACGTACAAATGCTTTGTTTGAAATGCAAACAAGAAATACAAAATTGCTGCGGTCATGGATCCACTAAGACTACTTCTTATTAATTGAGTGTGATATTTGAGCCGCAAAATCGGTCACCGGGTTATGATAGAACGGATCCGAGTAGAAGAACATGAGTGCAAGGCCAGAAACAATGCAAAGAAGAAAAAGTAGAAGGATGCAGCGCCAATTTGGTGCCGATAAGCGACCTGGAGAAGGAAAAAAGAAGCCGGTGTGCGTAAAGTGGAATAGGCAAATGAAGTCAGGAATTGTAAGCTCGTTATGAGAGAAAAAGTGAACATATTTAACTGTAAAAGTAGTATCTGAGCAGTGTAGGTAGACGGACGGATATCGACGCCCTGGACACGTTTAACGAGTGCCCACTGCCAGTTTTATTGGGCCATCCATCGACTTGGAGAACAAGGAACCATGCTTGCGTATTCTGTACTTTTCTAAGTTCCTTTTTCGTGAACCAGCCTAGTGAGAGTGGGTACACTTCAATATTTTATTAACCATTAAGCCTTAAGGGTAATGCGGTGGTGGCTATGGCCTTCCTGACTGCGAATCAGGACATTGTGGAGAGAATCAAAAGCTTAGTCAGGTAGGCATTCTTAGACGTAGCTTAGTCCTAGCGATTCTCACGGTTGGCAGGGAGTCAACCGTGCGCCAAATGTTTGCAGTGCGAATGGTAATGAGTCGACTGGGTGGACTGAACATTGCGTCAGCATATGGTAAGCGCGAGAGCACGAGAATCAACTACCCTCAGTGCGCCTATTTCCGCAGTTGGCACTTTTGGGCGCTGGAGACTAAAAAGTTATCGTCTTCCCAAGCCGGGCTTTCCAGTCGAAGGGGAACGCAATCTAGCAATTCACACGCTGTTGAATTCACCACAGGTCGACACAATCTATTCGTCACTGCTACTGCACACATCTTAGTACGCGGCCTACTCACCGGTAAGGTGGGCAACAAGAGAACCTGCGAAAATTAGGATAACAAACTTCGACCAAGAAACAAATATATTGTTTTGGGAAAAGCAATCATGAGTTAAAAAGCAAACACTAGCAAAATAAAAACATACCTAGT